ATCACACCCTCAGAACTAAAACAGCAACTGGACGCAACCATAACATTATCTCAAGATTTATGCGATGAAATATCCCAACTTCTGAACTGTCAAAATTCTAAATGAAGGTTAATATTTCTATAATGTAGTATAAATTTGTATTTATTGTGAAGTTTGGTGAAAATACCTTAATTTTTATTTCATTAGACAGTTTGTTTGAATTTAAATAACTCTACCGCAAACGCTCAAATTAATGATTTTTTGCCATTTCTCAGGCCTTTAACTCCTATATGCCTTAAGTGTATAACTTCAAATTTTTACCCCTTATTCTACTCATTGGGATCTGACATTCAGCCAAATTTCAAATTTTTACTTGCTTGCCCATCAGAGATATAAGGGCTCAAACTATGAAATTTTTAAAAAAATTACATTTTTGAGATTTTTTTTGAAAAAATTGACTCAAGTCTCAAAGCTCAAACTTTTTTCTTTTAAAGTATGTAAGTATGTCTTTTCCAGAAAAAAATTACAAGCCATTATCAGCTTGCCTTATGTTGTTAAAAAATGCACAAATGTCTATGTTTGTATTTATGAATTCTTCTATCTCTTGGTCTTTGTTGTTGAAAGAAGTAATGTTCCATGTTTGCTAATCTAATTGTGGGCTTATTTTTCCTTCTCATTTTCCTTTTCTTTGTGTGGTTCGTCTTCTTAGGTTCTGGTGCCGAGGCTTTATATCGGTTCTTTGAGCCTTGTTTTCTTTTACAATTCTCCAAAATGTTTGATAAATGTATTCATAGGCAACAACTTTTGTACTGTCGTCAGTGTCATCTCTTTCCTGGTATTGTTTGAATTAAAATTAAAGAAAGAATAAAGGTTGTATACCAAACAAAGTCGTAATAACGTTTAAGTATTCATTATTTAAAAAAAGACGTACAGGATTCTGTGGTTTTGACCATAAAAAAATAGTTAATGAAAATCTCATTAACAGCAGTGCTAGAGAAATCTTTGAATTGAGAAGTATTGGAGCTTTTATACACTTTCTATAATAAAATTTCCTCTTCCTACCATAAGTCTGTAATCGTGACAGTGTCATAGATATAGTGGTACGTGATAACATTCACGAGGAATAATTAGTATATGCAACATTTAAAACATATTTAGAAAGAAATATTCCTTTTTTAATAGACATTCGCAGAAAATTTACAGGCGCGGCCGATTATACGGAAATACCTAATTGTTTAAATATCACCATCGGGAAACTGGATTGTTTATGGAAAAAAACGGATATGTATTTTACACAAAAACTATTCGAGCGAAAACCACGATTTTAGTACATTGTACGTGCAGAAAAAAATTCGCTGTGAAAGAGAGGTTTTTCACAGCAAACACCACAAATTTACAGAAAAAATATTGTATTTTGTTTATTTTCGTGGAAAACCAATACACACTAGCTGATATTTAAATTGCAATTCAAATATCAACATAAATATAAATCTTAATGGGATAGTCAATTACATGTAAGGAAACTATTTTTATAGATGAAAAAAAAATTATTAAAACTTATTTTTAGTAAAAAAATGATCATTCTTTGTCATTTATAAGTAAAATTGATTTATATATTTATCTAGATTCATAAATAAACTTAAAAGAAATGTCTATTCTCATTTTATGTCTGTAAAGAGTCTATTCTCATTTTATTAAATAACTTAAATCGTGCAAATTTCCCAGTAGAATAGACCCCACTTGCGGCCATAAGGGAAAGCCATATTCAACCATTTCAATGTACATCTCATCTGTCCATGAACGATGTAAGAGACTTTCATTCAGCTTTTTATCAAAGTAAGAACAAAAGGGGACAAGACATGTTCATTTTACGCCACATTGACTCACATATCCCGGTAAGACAAAGGAAACGAACAGCCAACAAAAATAAATCAAAATCTTGTATTTTATCCTACAAATTGAAGAGAAGTGACAGCCAAATTGTTCCTGTATGTCGAACAGCTTTCCAAGGTATTCTGGGAATTAAAAAAGATAGAATTTTAAATATTATGAAAAACTACAATGAAGTATTCGCTTATTCCTACCGAAAGAAGGGGCGGATATCGAATTGGACAAAAAAAAAACGAAGGTAAAAAACAATCTATAAAAAAATCATCGAGTCCCTAAAATATGCGTAATCTCATTATTGCCATTCAAAAACATTCAACAGAATTTATTTGCCTACTGAATTAAGTATCTCAAAATTATGGAGAATATACAACGACAAAATAGCCCAAAACGAAGACTTTGAAGTCAAAGAATGTTTCTTTAGAGATTATTTTAACAAAAATTTTTACGTTGGCTTTGGAACTCCGAAGACAGATTTGTGTGCAACTTTTTTACAGTACAAATCCAGTATAAAAGGCGAGACAAAAGCAAAAAAACTAGTCTGGAAGCACAACAACGTCTCCACAAAATAAGAAGTGAGAGTTTCTACAGACTTCTTCAAGAAGAAAGAAACGACATGGTCACATTTTCATTTGATTGTCAGAAGAATTTAGCGCTACCAAAACTTCCGGATCAGTTCCGATATCGTCGTTCTTGCACCACTTCCTTTCAAATTTTAATTTTGTGGAAAATGTACGTGTTCTTCGACTTATTTGCGATTGGTGTGGAACACAGAATAAAAATTCCACGGTCATCACCATGCTGAGCTATGTAACGAAGGTATTTTGCCTACCGCATGGGGTAAGATTATGGGGGTAGAGAGAGGGCAGGCAAAATCATCGCTACTGCAAACGGCACTCAGAGTTTGGTAGGAGAGCTGGAGTCGTGGATAAGTAAAAGATAAGGGGGTTGGATTGGGGCAACTACAAAAAATGAAATAAAGGGGTCATTAATCTCTTGGGATAAACAAAATAAAAATAAACAGGAAACACCTCAAGGAATTTAATATAGGGCGCCACTTGAAGTGCCTAATTATACCTATTACAACCGCTAGTTGTAACTAGGGAAATAATTATAAAACATCACAAACATATCTTTTTCAAATAAAGCTCAAAAAAGGGTTAGTTCAAAAAATAAACAAAATGTTAAGAAAACAAAATTTAATTTTTGTATCACCACAAACAGTTACAACATGGAGAAATACTAGAATACAAAAAACTTACGTGTGTCATCCGCTTACAAAACTCCAGGAGTTGGAGATACTACATAAAACTTACAAATGTTACCGCATTACAATTTTTAAATGTTACAATTTCTAAATTTTAACGAAAGCAATTATTGTTCTAAAAATATATCTGTCTTAACTTCGAAATTAAACAAACAATAAACAGTTGCCTGGATTCACATATTTCCACTTAACGAAAAGAAAAAAAAACTTGTTACATCTCTAGAGTATCTATCCGGACATCATCAGCGAAGAGCTTTATTCATTGGGGGCTGGAACTAGCACACTTGGAAAAACGGAATTCTCAAAAAAACAGGAACTAAACTTGTTCAACTTTTCAACAGGAACTAGACTTTTCAAACATCTTAAAATATCGAGCGAAAACTCCACTAATTTTGGCAAATTAATGCCGGTCACTTCATAATAGATAAAAATCCACCACTACTGCTACTTATTTCCACAAAAGGAGCCAAAAACAGAAAACTACACATTCGACGACGAATTCGGATCCATACCTGAGCCTACAACGAACTGCTCGGTGACCCAAGCATGAATTGGATCCCACCTGACATTACGACGACCCAAGTATGAATTAAGATCCATACGTAACACTACGAAGACCCAAGTATGAATGACGAAATTAAGAATTCGTTCATATAAATTGAAAACAAACAAAACAACGGAAATTAAAACCTAGATATCCTTTTGCGACGTATAAAATTACAACGCGACTCGACATTAGAATTGCGAAGTAATTACGGAATTCATATGCATCAAGATGTAAAAATCCTGGTTTTAGAGGACAAAGTCGTATTATGTGTGTCAAATGTAACATTCACTTATGTTTGCAAAAAAATAAAAACTGTTTTTTGGCATTTCATAATAAATAAATAAAGTTGTAATGAGTTTTATAATAAGTACCAATTCTATATACAGAAATCACCATTTTATTTATTTTACATATAAAAATTTAATTAATCAATTTTACCTGCGAGTCACAATGTATACGTTTGGATACATACTATAACTCTTAATTGGGAAAGTAGAAAATTTTGTAAATTATATTAAAAATCTTAAAAAAAATCACCTATTTTGTATCTTCAATTTTAGAATTTTTGTTTGTGAAACAAAAAGTCGTGAGGGAAAGGGTTAAAATTTATACAGATGCATCCAAAGGTGAACTTGGCGTTGAAGAAGCAACTCCAAATGACCCTTTTCAATTTAAACTTCCTCTAAATTCTAGCATATATAATGCAGAACTTTTTGGTTGTTTAAAACTATCAAATATGTAAATGTTAAAAACATCCCTTGTTGTCTACTTCTTTCCGACTCTCTCAGCGCAATCGAAGCTATGCAAAATATGCTATACCCTAAACAACCCATTGATAAAATTATCGAACTAATGGAAGCTCAAGAAAATTTCAGAATGATCCACTTCTTGTGGATACTTATGAAAATGTGAAACATACAATACAGTAGACAGTATAAAGCACTTTTTGATAGACTGTCCTAAATATGTAAATCGAAGACATTCTTACAATTTTCCAAATAACCTGAAAGCCTTACTCAATAAAAAATTTGTTTCGTATATTTTATTAGATTACTTAAAATGTATAAACATGTTACACAAAATTTAACTTAAATTTGATTAAAATTAATTTACATTTAATTAATTAATTGTTACAAATGTTTAATTGTTCACTAATTGTAATTAATTGTTACAATGATTGATTGTTACAAATGTGTAACGTGTGTAATGTGTAATGGTACAGGAATGTCGCTAATAACCTTCGGGTGGATAAAAAAAATTAATTAATTAAAAAAAAATGTTTATGACTAATAATTTATGTAACTTTTCTTTTATTTACAGTATAATTCTCGTACAAAATGCCCCGGAAAAGCCGGCTGCACCCCCTGCTTCGCCGTATTTTCAAAAGAATATTAGTCACCACGTTCCTACGCAAGTAGTCACCGTTGCGGAATATAATCAGCCATCCTCAATCACGAATTCCAACTCACAAAACGAGATGCAAATGTGCTACGTGTTCGAAAACGAAAAGGTTAGTGTTGTGTACTATTTATATATGTTAAGGGTTTAGACAAGGCAACTTTCGGTAGCCGGTTTTATTAAATACATATTTACTTGGAAGTCTCAGAAAGTGTCTCAGAACAAATTACCAAACTTTAAGTAGCTCTTGAACAAAGTGGATTTTTAGTGGAAAGGCGCTGTGCTAAAAACTTCCAAATCTTAGACAATTAGTAATCTAAAAGTTAAGATATCTCCATCTAATATCTGTGTGTAACTGCTAACGATATCTACCCAGAATTCATAAATAAACGGGCTATTTTACAGTAAAAGGGTTGAGTTTACCGAAAGTACAAGCTGATTATAGCTGTAAATGTCAAACATGGAACAAAAATTTCGGTTTAGCAGTGTTGGCATGTTTTTATAATGTAGATTCTGTATGCTTCACATATAAAAAGATGGAGCTTTATGTTATGAATTCTGCAATTTTTTATTTATATGAAACAAGAATGAGTAAATATTTGTTTCTTTGGAGATTAATTGCAGTTAATTATTAGAATTTTTTTGGTAATTACCCTTTGATAGATTAGAGAATAGATTTGGCAATCGTCAAGTCAGCAGTTGCCAGAGTGCAACATATCTTTGCAATTACCCTCGAGAGAGACAAATATTTACTCGTTATTGTTTCATATAAATTAAAAATTGCAGAATTCGTAAAATAGTATAATAGTCCATTTCCATCATATTGATAGCACATTATGTATGCAAATCCCTAAACTGTTGATACGGGTGACTCAATGAAAAATAGATATTTGTCAACAAGTTTACAGAAGTATATAGGAAAACAATTTTAATTTTGAGTATGACCACCAGGTATAAAGGTTGAAGCAGAATAGAATACAATAGTTTTGAGGGTTACTAATCCCTAAATAAAGTTGCCAGTGTCGGAGTGATGGAGATTAACAGGTACTAATGAATTTGGAAGAAATGTAAGATGTTTATTTTATTGGTTATATATAAAATAATTTGTGGCCGTAACAGGGCCGATTTGTAAAAAATGAATATTATTTTAATCAAATTCCATTTCAGATTCACTGCTTTCTTCAGAATCTAAGGATTCTTCAACTCCAATGTTAATTATTACCAGTTCCAGCATTGCATCAGTCATATTATCCAAATTCCACATTTTATTTTCTTCCTTGTGAGCATGACTAACAGCATTTTTCCAATTTTCTGGAGTTACTTTTGATAAGGAATGTTCTAATAATTGTTGTAAGTCTTCTAATTTAAAAGTTTTGTTGTTGCGTCCGACTTCACCCTTTACTTGAGACCATATATTTTCTATCGGATTCAGATCACAGTGGTATGGGGGTAAACGTAAAATAATTACATCACGGTTTAATGCTATTTCATCTATTATATATTTTTTATAAGCTGCTTTATGTTGCCTTACAATAGGTAATAATTCCTTTTTTGTCGAATTCTCCTTGTACTCAATTGCGTTTTTATCCAACCATTCGATTATCTCTCCTTTTTTCCATGCCGTTGTTGGCAATTTTTCTGCTAGTCTTGAATGGTAACTAGCATTATCCATGACTATGACAGAATTTTTTGGAATTAAATCCAACATTTGCTCAAAATATTCTTCAAAAACGTCAGCAGTCATTTCCTCGTGGTAATATTTGGTTGATTTTGAGGCAAAACTTAATAATCCACCATTGACAAAACCGTATTCGTTTCCAATATGGGTTATTATGAGTTCCTTTTCCAACGGGAATATTGTTTATTCCAGTAGATACACCTTCGATGAATGCCTGACGGGAACTTTTCACATTTGTATCAACCCATAGATATGGTACAGTATGACCTTCATTTAGCCAAGTCTCGTCCAAATAAAAAATTGTTTTCCCTCCTTCTCGGTACTTTTTAATAGTTCTTAGATAATCTCGTCTCCAACATACAATGTAATCTTTTTCAATTAAAACGGATTTTCTTCTATTCTTTTGCCAACGAAATCCCATCTCTCTCAGTAGTCCCCATAATTTCTTGTTGCTTATGATTGGTAACTCTTAGTTTTCTCTAATTAATGTTTGGATTTTGTCCAATGTTGGAAATTCTTTGTTAAAAAAAAAATGGGTGGACGCTGCGTCTTATCATGTTTTTATGTATTTCTTCAATTTCCAAGGGTTTACTCCCTCCACTCTTCTTGGGAGATGAAACAGTACCTCCTTTTCTTTCTTTTAGGAATCGGAATGGCATATAGACCGACGTTTTTTACGCACAAAAAACGTATAGTGAGATTAGTGGACACTTATTTTACAGAAGATTTTTTAAAAGATAATGAATTGTTGACGGCATCTTAAAATATTAATTTTTTTTATTTATTTCAAAACAAGTATAGGGTGACGCCTATGGTTTTTTGACCTGTTGAGGATTTGTATACATAATGTGCTATCAATATGATGAAAAAGGACTATAATCGATATCGTCGTTCTAAGATGCAAATTGCCTAACTCACAAAATAACAGTTTTGCAGGAGAGCTAAAAAACTATGCCAATTTTAAATTTAATTAAAGTAAAGTTTAAATATTTTTTTACATTGATTGTTTTTAAAAAAGGTTGTTAATTACATTATGTGCAATTTCATTGTAATTTTTATTTTTTTACTACAATTAAATGGATATAGGCAATTTGCTTATTTATTTTTTGACTATTTTAGGACTTAGGTCATCTTCGTTCAACAAATCACTTCAAAAAACCGCATTTTAATTAACTTATTAATAACAAGAGTAAGTATCAACAGAACATTTAATCAACATTTTAAACTTAAAAAAATTAATGATAATATTTAGATATTAAAACTGTAATCAACATGTTTACAACTTAAAAAAATTTATAAGTGGGACAAATTATCATAGAATGCATGATAGTCTTCCTTTAATGACCGTTTTAAATCCATTAAATGTTCAAACTTTTTCTTCTGAATTGGTAAAGGTGCATCGTAAAGTTGGGGGAGGGCATCATACGATGTAACAGTTTTATTTTTATTCAGGCGACATGGCAAATATTTCCAGTCTTCTGAGTGGCGAATTTTAAACATGATGGAACCATCTGGGCTATATCTCAGAGCTCTAATGTCAGTGACCGCTGGATCTCCTGTAGTCCTTCCGGGTCTTATAGAATTAAGAACTTGCATGTTCTCAAAATTTTTAAAAAATGTATAGTCTAAGTACTGGACAGTGTAGGGTTTTGGGTTCAGACGTGCTGATTGGCAGATTTCTACGTAATCAGCTGGGACATTTATAACTCTCTTTTTGAGCTTCCTTTCAATACTTGAATGCATGGCATCGCATTCCATTTGCGTGTGTCCCTTTTCAAGATATTTTTGCTCAATGTTGTTTGACTTTCTCGTGATAAGTTTAAAAGGCACTTGAGAGCAATGCATTCCTGTTTTGATAGGTGCAACCATCACTATAAAAAATAATCTTGCTTCGAGCTTCATTTTCCTGTATTACGTGGTTTCTGACGAAGCTATACAAGATTGATGTAAAAATGTTGGCTGTCAGTCCTCCTTGTCCCTCGTGCCAAATATAGCAATAACCATCCTTCGTTTTCAGATTGAAAACTGTAAAATTGTGGACAACTAGTTTTGTCTTGTAGTATAGGGAGGAGACAGTGGACTTCGGACATAACAATACAGACTGCAAATCCATCGTGTACACATTGCAATTTTCTGCTTCTTTGTCTTTTTGTTTTTCATTTCGAGCTTCCTCTTTTTTAACTTGATGTTCGTCAAATATCTCTTTACGCATATTTCCTGTAGCTACACACTTGTCGCATTCGTCTTTTTTTCATGTTTGTAAAAGCCAATGGGATCACTCCAGTGAAATAAAACAACGCATAGGAAAAGCGAGATCAGCGTTCATAATAATGAAGTATCCTTTCAGAAGTCACGATTTACCACTTGTTACCAAAATCTCTCTCATTAGATGCTATGTATTTTCTACGTTATTATACGGAATAGAGGCCTGGACACTTTCCGAAGCTTCTTTAAGAAAACTCGAGGCATTCGAGATGTGGTGTTACAGACGTATCTTAAGAATTTCATGGGTGGATCGTGTGACTAATGTTGAGGTCCTACGTAGAATAGGCAAGGAATGCGAGATTATTAACACCATCAAAGAGCGCAAACTAGAATATCTTGGCCATGTTATGAGGAATGAACAGAGATACGGCTTGTTGCAACTCATTCTTCAGGGCAAGGTATTTGGAAAGAGAGGACCAGGGAGAAGAAGAATATCTTGGCTTCAAAACCTGAGAAAGTGGTTTAATACATCGACAACCGGACTATTCAGAATAGCGGCAAGCAAAGTTAGGATAGCTATGTTTATATAGAAGTGAAGAAGTGATTCTCTGCCATAAACTTGTACACAACCTCCAATAAGTTTTTCCAAGTTGTCCTCTCTTAAATCTCTTGACAAAATAATAAAGCTTCAAAACACTGTTTTTCTTTTTCTCAAAACGAACATCGCATACTAAAGACATCTTTTTGACCATCTGTTTCCTTATGTAGCTGAATCGCAAAACCTTTCAGACATTTAAAAGTTTATTGTCACAAATTCCCTTCTTGATAGATAGTTTGCTGATAGATAGTGCGCAGTGATATTTTCAAAAGCAGTTTATCGACATCCTTTCGGAGCATAATTTTTATGATATCTATAGCGTGATGAGTCTGGTTTTGCCAAGTTGTCAGAAGCTTAGCCCTTTCTCTATCTACATCACTCTTTAGGTTAGGAGATTTTAGATCTAGAGATTCCGAAGAAACTCAGCCGAACGGATATAATGATCGACCTATAGTAGAATGTTTTTATAAATCTTGATTTTGAGCTTTACTAAAGAATTTAAGGAACGATTTCCAATAAATTTGAGCGAAATTTAGTTTTATACTGTTTTTTTTATCTGTACTTAACAAATTACTTTTTTTAGGTAAAATGTTGCAGTCGAAATAGCGCGTCATCGATCCAAAAAGCCGACGTGCACGTCGAAGATCTGTGTGAAACGCCGAGGAACGAAGAAAGCTCAAATAACTCACCTGACTTATCTAGGAGTAACATAATAGCGTTAGACATTGAGTGCCCTTCTAGTAGCAAGAAGAAATATTCTTTACAAAATTCTTTAAAGACTGATATAGTGAAAAATAGGAGCTGTGTTTTCAAATCTTTGCCTAATTTGAGTACCAGTAGTGAAAATTTACTGTTGTAAATAATGATATATTTTAATATTGTAAAGTGATATACAATAAATTATTTATTATCTAATGGTAGTTTGGTTGTATAGGCACTCCCGATTTTAGTGTCGCTCTTTGTCGTAACGTAAGGGGCGCTGTACTGTTTGAGCTTGCCGAGTTGCCGGTTTGCGGATTGTTGAGGTGGGTACACATATGCTCCGAATACCGTCTCGAACCCCGTCGCGTACAGCGACGCGATCAACAAAAGTTCGCGACGTTGTTACAGGGGGCATTGAAATAAGTAACGAACCGAACACCGCTCCGCACTTTGGAAGTCTTAAAATGACGGAAAGATGAAGAATTATGTTGCATAAAAATATCAAAAGAAATGTATTCTCTTGCTCAAATAGTAAGTAGATTTATAATTAGAATTCGTTCAAATCTCTATTTGTATTAAAATCACGATAAAATGTTATTTTAGGTATTATACCCAAAAAAAAATGGTGATAATTCCTATGGGATGAGACTTCTATCAAAGAATATAAAGGCATAATTTTGTAAAGAAACATTTCAGTGAAACTTAAATTGGAAATGCTCCAGTTTTTGCTCATGCTGGTTTTATTGAAAATAAGGTAAGATTACTTTTTTTATCTATTTGTTGCTATAAGTACACTTTCATCTATATACAGGGTGAGTCATGAGGAACTTTACATACTTCTACCATATGTAGAGTCCCTCAGGGAGCATATCATGTGGCCACTAAAAAATGTCAACTCCTCTTCTTTATTAATTAACAGGGTGATTTGTGTAATTGACCATTTATTTCATTTTACTGTAGTGTTTATACGGCTCATTTGATTTTTTTAATTTTTGCATGATACAGTACACTACTATCAAGCATTCGACTGGTATTAGCTAAACTAAAAAATTCCAGGACTGGCTTTGGAAAAATTAATTTAGGGATTCGTATTAAATATTACACCCTGTATATATATTTTTTTAAAATGCAATAAGTGATTTTCAAACTACATAAATAGCCAATGAAAACGACATATGCGACAATGTTGTCGCACTTTTATTAAATTTTTAGTGAACGATCAAATCTTACCAAAAATAGAACAACCATAATGAAGTATCAAATTATAAGGTAATTAATTTAAACAAATGTTATAAATTTCAAACATTTTAATTGAAATGATAAACTGAGTCACTGCACAACAAAAAACAGTAACTACTAACAATAACGAAGAACAATTTAAAAAAAAACTAAAAATATGTACATAGTTATGATAAACCCATAAATTAGAACTGGAAAAGATACAATAATGGTAACAAAATAAAAATAATTCAAAATAGATTTTCGAAATGGAACCCTGCAGCCTGTACACATTTTTGTTGCCGAATTGTTAATTGACGTATTGAATTACGGATACTCTGGGGATCGTTTCTAATAGTATTACAACAATGTATAATTCTATCAATTAATTGTTGTCGGTTATTAATATTCACTGCGTAAACTAGTTGCTTCAATCGTCCCCAAATATGGTAATCAACGGGATTGAAATCAGGGGATCTTGAAGGCCACGAAATAGGACCTGCACGTCCTATCCACCTGTTGCCATAAACATTATTGAGATGTTGTCTCACTGCCAGTAAAAAGTGTGGGGGTGCCCCATCATGCTGAAAATACATCCCTCGGATAGCAACGTTCGCGTTGGCAAGCAAATTCGGCAAAATATTTTGTAGAAAGTTCAAATAGACCTGCCCTGTTAAAGGACCATCAAAAAAGTGAGGACCTACTAATTGGTTATTTATGACACCAATCCACACGTTAACCGAAAACCTTAACTGAGAACGACGTTCTCGAATAGCATGGGGATTTTCTTCTGCCCACACATGTGAATTTCGTGAATTATTTATCCCGTCTCTGGTAAATTGGGCTTCATCTGTAAATAGTGTCCTGTATAGCGTTGGTCGATTATTGTTAATCCATCTACAAAATTCCAACCTATCGATCTCATCTCCAGCATGTAGTCGCTGAACCATTTGAATGTGATATGGGTATAGATTATTTTTTTGTAAGACTCTACTTACTTTTGATTGAGTAACATTGAGTTCTCGACTTACTTGTCTAGTGCTTATTGTAGGGTTCATAGTAACGGCGTCCATAATGTCATCTTCCTGCGCTTCATCTACATGTCGCTCTGTTGTTCCACTAGGAAAAGTGCCATTTTCTCGCAAATAATTAAAAACTGACCCAAATGTTGGATGACTGGGAGTTCGACGATTAGGAAATCTCCTGCGATATTCTCTACTAGCAGCCCTACCATTCCCATTACAGAATCCATAAACAAATATTATGTCTGCATATTCTGTGGTCGAAAACTGATGTGGCATTTTGAACGAAAGTAACAAAAGCTCTACCAAAACTAACACAATGTACTTAACGTAGATATGACAGAAGAAATATGTATTCTTGTACACATAAATAACAATTGATAATGACAATAATGACAATGGGTATAAAATATCAAGAAACGTCAAACGGTCAACGCCAACCTTCATTTTAAACTTTTTTAGATTTATTTTTATTTAGTACAGTTGATGCAATGTATTATTATTTGACATAAAATTTTAATCATTTACAATCAACAAAAACTAACACATACAAGAGGTTTGACTTTTTAATCAATTTAATTTATTATTTATCGAAAATAATGCCCCAATACGATCTATGAGTAAAAATTTAAAATTGAAAAACAATTGATTCTATCGTAGAGATAATACAAAGTGACAGTAAAGATGTTAATTTTCTACGTATTAGATTATGTTGTAGGAACTCATTTTAATTAAAATGTTTGAAATTTATAACATTTGTTTAAATTAATACCTTATAATTTGATACTTCATTATGGTTGTTCTATTTTTGGTAAGATTTGATCGTTCACTAAAAATTTAATAAAAGTGCGACAACATTGTCGCATATGTCGTTTTCATTGGCTATTTATGTAGTTTGAAAATCACTTATTGCATTTTAAAAAATATATATACAGGGTGTAATATTTAATACGAATCCCTAAATTAATTTTTCCAAAGCCAGTCCTGGAATTTTTTAGTTTAGCTAATACCAGTCGAATGCTTGATAGTAGTGTACTGTATCATGCAAAAATTAAAAAAATCAAATGAGCCGTATAAACACTACAGTAAAATGAAATAAATGGTCAATTACACAAATCACCCTGTTAATTAATAAAGAAGAGGAGTTGACATTTTTTAGTGGCCACATGATATGCTCCCTGAGGGACTCTACATATGGTAGAAGTATGTAAAGTTCCTCATGACTCACCCTGTATTGCTTATTTTTGTATCCTATTTTTTTTATTGGCTCAAATAATTCCAGTTTGTAAACATATTTTTGGTATTAATTTAGCATCGGTGACTTAAATAATAGTTCTGTTGTGTTTTTTTAAAGGTATTGCAAAAAATATGTTTTTGAAAAGTACTTAATATATTCTTTTTTTTTTGTAGGTGATAATATTTACAAAGTACTATTGTTTTCTGTTGTCACATCCATCAAGATACAGAAACAACAGATGACAAAGAAGAAATATAAATGAAGCTGCAAAGAAATTAGTAATTTGTAATGATGTTTTAAGATCTTATAATGTAGATATATCTGCAAATTTACTTTGCAATTAGACAGCAAGCTATAGAAATAACAAGGTACATTTTATTTATTGTATAAGAAAAGTCTTCATTGTTTTTAAATTTTGTTTATTATGTTTAGGAATCCAAACAATCTGTTTGGTAACAATAAAACACTGAAAACTTTGTTTTCATACTTCCACAAAATTTATTTTAAATCTTATCACTACAGCTGTTTCGGCTGATTGCCTTTATCAAGTGATCTATTTTTGGCTTGGGTTTACAAATTTATAGTCTCTAATGAAATAGGTTGAGGAGGGGAGAACTGTTTGGCTCAAGTTGGTCATTCAGAATTATATCTGTGTTTTTTAATTTGTTGATTTCCATAGATTCTAACAAAGATAGCTAAAGGCCTTTATTTTGAATGTGAAGAATTTTAAATTTGTCATTAAAAGAATGATTATGATGATTAATGACAAATTTAAAATTCTTCACATTCAAAATAAAGGCCTTAAGCTATCCTTGGTATAATCTATGAAAATCAAGAAAGTAAAAAACACAGATATAATTCTGAATGACCAACTTGAGACAAACAGTTCTCCCCTCCTCAACCTATTTTATTAAAGACTATAAAGTGTAAACGTATGCCAAAAATAGATCACTTGAGAAAGGCAATCAGCCGAAACAGCTGTAGTGATAACAGTTTAAAATAAATTTTGTGGAAGTTTGAAAACAAAGTTTTCAGTGTTTTATTGTTACATAAAATGAATTTCCATCAAGTAACGGTCGAATCCATCAATTAATCTGTTTGGTGTTGTTTCTTGTCAGATTGTTTTCTATATGAATGTTGAATAATTACAAAATGTACTTACATGTGACAGCTTTAATATGGTTCAATTGATTTACTTGGTTACATAAATTCTGCATGTATATTATTTGGTTGAATGTAACTTTAGTCACTCTGTGTAATCTCTTTAACAGAATTTATGACACTGGGATATTACCAACTGATTGGTTAAAGTCGACATTTGTCACAATACCTAAGAAACATCGTCCAAAGACATGCGGTGATTATCGGACAATAAGTCTGATGAGTCACGTTTTGAAAATCTTTCTGCGAGTAATACACATCAGAATTTACACGCTGTTAGAGGACAGAATTAGCAATACTCAATTTGGGTTTAGGAGTGGCTTGGGTACAAGAGAAGCCTTGTTTAGTATACAGGTGCTAGTACAGAGATGCAGAGATATAAATCAAAATGTGTACATTTGTGCAATCGATTTTGAAAAAGCTTTTGACAAAGTCCGACATAACAAAATGCTAGAAATATTGGAAACAGCTGGATTGGACGATAAAGATCTACGAATAATTACAAATCTATACTGGCATCAAGTGGCAAGAATAAAGGTTGAACAAGAACTGTCGGATGAAATAAATATAAAAAG